AAGAAGTTACAATTCTTTTATTGTCACTAAATTTTTGATACGTCTGTTTCTTCGCACAATTCACCTTATAGCTGCGACAATGAAACCGAACTATTTGAATTCGAAACACAAACTGCCACATCTGACACTTAATTAGCAATACAAGGTTCTATTCTCATTGTCACTACACAGTTATGGTATCAAAGCACATAAGGAGAAACACAATTCTACATAAGCACGACGCACACGTATGCCCAGCAATTAATGTATACACTATATTCTTGCATATGTATGTTCTTAAATGTAAATATGTAGATTCGGTGCATACATTATGCAAAAAATGCAAAATAAGTAACACATTTGTATAATTTTCTAATTACAATAAATTTCTATTCACCAAGTGGTCCAAATAAAGAGCAACTAATTATCTTAGAAACCAATGAAAGCATCCATTTCATTTTTTTTTTAAATTAAACGGTCCATGGAAACTAATTTTTCATATGCAATAAATTCTTCGAGGATGATTCTTAAACTTTAGCTAAATTTTTAAAAATGGAGAGCGATATTATTTCTTCGTTATTTGGATAACTCTTATGAAACTGAATAACATTTATTTGATCTATTTATTTTTATAGTTACAGAGTTAAAATAAAAAATTAAAGTCGATTCTATAAAGTTAAAGACAAGTACTATAAGTTATTTCGGTACTTGGTACTAGATGATTTCCAGGAACATTCTGTTAACAATATTATTCTTGTTTGGATTTTCTACAAACATGAAGATTTCTTACATATAAAATGTTTGAAATGACTAACATTGACGGAAGTGTTGACATTGTACTAATTTTAAACAAAGACATCGTAATTCTCGACAAATTGCTACAATGATTGTAGAACATTTCCACGCAAGGAAACCACATATGGTATTTATAAATTTAGAAAATCGTGTTTGAAAAAATGATTCATTCATAAACACAGTTCGTTGCACTGCTGCGTGTCATAAATCATGACAATGCTGTTATAGTTTTGACATGGCAGTAGTTCAATTATTTCTCAATATTTTACTTTTATTTCTTCATGAATTACTGTCTTCTAATCATATAAACGGATTTAAAGAAAAAAGGAAATTCATAACATCGAGCTTGTTGTTAGAGCGTCTAACTGTAGGTATATAATCTCATGAATGACAGGTACCACATGAACTATACATGCACAGGGTGTTTCGGTATAGATAGTACAGTCGAGCATAGATGATTTCTTCATGAAAAAATAAATCGAAAACAAATATAGTTTTCTGCGAGTTCGTTTTCGAGGAAATGAAGCTTTATACATGCCACCGATCTACCAGATTGCACTATAGCGATTAATACTTCATTTTACCAGAATAAAAATTTGTATTAATGAAAAAATATTACTGTATACAACATTGTTGCTCATTGATTTGGTTCAAATATCAATCTCGAAAACGAAGCTACGTACAGAAAATTGTTATCTATATTTTCTATTGATATTTCCATAAGGAACACATTTGATCGTAAAAAATCGCACTCCTTCGACTTTCCAAATAAAAATACGCAATCAAGAACACTTCTAAAAGGCTTGTCAGTACTTGTTTTACAACTTTTTTTTCGAAACGCGATCTTAACACGGTCTGGAAACGAGCCGTCCAATTAACCGTTAGACCGTGGACAAGCGTTTACTATAAAGAGGATCTGCGAGAGAAAAGCGTGGGTCAACGATGATTGCTAATCGAATATTTCTTTTTTTATTTCAACCGGTCGATGATGCGCGAAGGCGAACGGTGGCCTTGAAAAGAAGTGTTTAAAGAGGTCGACGAGACGCGAGAAAAGACAAGAGAACGCGTCAGTGGAATTCAGAGAAATGATATCATTTTTTGGTAACGACGAATCCTGCGATTAAAAACGTCGTCGAGACGTTTCACTGACCTAAGAAACGTAAATCAGCGTAGTTCACGACAGTTCCAGTAATCTAGTAATTCAGAGAGCGAGAAGGTAAAAAGAAAAGCGCGGTGATCTAGTTTCGCTGCTCGTTTATGCAACGTTCCGAACATAATACGAGCCTTCCATGACAGCCAACCATAAATACGTCGTTTACCATAGAAACGATCGTTTTCTAGGAAACTCTGGGAATCATTTTTCAAGCAACTATACAATCTACAAGGTAGGAAATGTTCCGGAACGCGCGTTAAAAGTAAACTTTAACGAACGAGCTAATAGTTCTAATCATATGTATCTCTACGTTCATCCTCCACCATAAAATAACGATATAAGATCAAATTTGGTCGTAAGTAACACCAAGAAACCGATGAAATATCCTCGTTATAAAGATAAATCTATCTTGCGTTATTTTCAATTTTAAATGAATAAGAAGATCGATTAAAGAAACTTTATTTCTATTATTTTACTATGAAGTGTGATGGTTACAGATGATTCTACGAGTAAATGAATTTTCAAGATAAATGCATCTAAAATTAATGAACTTTGATGGAATGTAACAGTTAATTAGAAAGATTAATTCCAACCAATGTGGAAGGGAAAAGTTAAAATAATAAAATATGATTAAAATTTTCGCTGTAATATAAAGACTTAAGGTCAAGAGTGTACGTGCAATATTATTATGCTCATATAAATTATAATATGTGTAATACTAATTTGGTTCTTTAAATAATAAAATAGGCGGCTTATCCAGACCAGTAGAGATCGGAAAACTAAACAACTTCCCATAAATATTAACACTGATTTTATTATTCTTTTCTTACGACGTTAACCACATTATTATAAGAATATTCCGTTTTGCCAAAAATATCGATTTCCCTTTAATGCGGATATAGTCGTACGCAAAACGAAAACACTTGCTCCTTTCACTTATTTCGAACCGACCATAGGCGCTGCTATTAAGATAAAAGCAATGGACCGAATCACTCGGATTTCAAACTCGTATTAAAAATTCTCTTGCACCGGTTCTGCTGACGTAATATCGCATTTGACACTTGATATTTCTTTCCAATCTACGCCCAGTGGATCCGGGGTCGGTGTCCAAAGCAAAATATTGAAGGGAGAATCGAAAGAACGAACGTATCGGGCGTTATTAATCCAAAGAGGCGCGAAGATGTTAACAGAGAATACAATTAAGAAGAAATCTAAGCTCGTGAGAAACCCAGTTTCCGTTCGCCGATCGCGGAAGGAATAACTGACGCGCGAAGAAAATACAATAAAGCCACGCTCCACTTTCCGAGGCCAATTAATGTTATTATAACGACACAGTGGGGGAAAGCTCGAAGAATCTAGAATATAATGTCAATTGTTCGCCGTGTCTTTTGTATATTCAATCCCGAGGAATCGAAATCGACGGAAGAATTGCGTTCTTGTTTCTATTCTTCTCGCGTCAACCGAGACGAGGATATTTTTGTTTCACCGACCGTCCGTTTGCGACAGTTCGTGCCGCGCGATGTAAGGAAAAATTTAATTTTTTCCAGTAACGGGACACGTTCTCTCGCTATCGATAAAATCCTGTTCGAAGTCACGCGTAAATCGATCTTCGGAAAAAATCGTTATTTCCTTCGGATACGTGCACGCGGATGAAAAGACATAGACGAAACGAAATCGAAAGTTCGTTGTTAATGCGAGGCAACCGCCGGAAAATGGTTATCGTGTTTACCAGTTAAACAACGAGCGACCGTATCTCCAACCACGCATTGAAATCACCACTCGGCGCAGCCAGCACGGACGCACGTGGATCGTTGACACACACGCTATCCACGCGATTTTGCTCGCGTTTATCGCACGATCGTGACTCAGAAATATCGAGTAACTTCTACCGCATTTGTTCGAATTAAATATTATGTTGGAAATCTGGTTTTGATCTTTGACAAACGAGAAAGAAAGAAAGTGTGTTCCTTTTTTCTCGGAATAAGAAAATACCTTGTTATCGCACTTTGCCCAAAAAGATTCCAAAAGCACAATGACAGTCGTTGCTTTTTGGACGACCTTGTCCTCGGGTCACATCTTCGTCGTTCGGCCAGTCCGTGTATTCCGTGCACGCGCGCGCGAGTTGGTACAGAGCCAAGAGAGAGAGAAACAGAGAAACAGGAGAAAAAGAGGAATTCACGAAAACGTTTCAGCGAGTCTGTGTCTTCGAGACATTCTGCAAGTGGTTTCTGGATGAGGCTGCCGTGAAAACTGAGCCGCGGCTCGAAGCCGAAGAGAAAGGCAGTCTGAGACGTGAGACCTCTCTCATTGGCAGTTGATACGCGCTGTCCTTTCGTGGACACGCGACTCTTTGACTGTAAACTCAGAATATTTCTACGGGACTGGGACGTTAAGGTCGCGCTCGATTGGTTCATTGGCTACCAGTGCTGTATCTAAACTCGCATTTCCTTCGTGGCAGAAACAAATTCACAATTTTAGCCTCCCTCTTCTACTTCCAACGATATTGGAAACGTTCTCCAAATTGAGGAAAGGATTATCGTCGTTTCGTTGTTTGACTTGAAAAAAAAATTATTTTCTAAAATCCATTGGGTCGACTGTGGCGGTACGCGACCCGCGTTCCTAGTAGAAGAAAGTCAACGCTAGAACGAAGGTAGCTGTTGGTCAAGGCAGGTGAAAGTCACGTAGAGCACGGGTACTTGGCTTCTTCGTCGGCCAGAGACATCTGTTGGACACTGTAAAGCGTTCGTACCGAGATTTTCCACCGATGTTATCGTTCGAACAATTCGTGCACCAGGTAAATGCATCGTCAGATTCATCGATAACGACCGGTTAGCAAGTTTCGACAACGGTCTTTCAATTCCGGTTCGTCGTTCTACGATTTCACCGTCGAAGGTTCTTCGTCGATTTAAACGACCGCGAGGATTTCCGAAGCGACGCGAAACGACCGGATATCCCGGTTAACCGTCGTTTAGATCGTAACGAGAGACACCGTCACGGCTTTTCGAGAGATTACGCGCTCATTGAGGTCGATAAGTTCTCCGAGCAGCACGGTGAACTCCGAGTGCCAGTGAGAGCGGCTGCTGCATCAGCCGAGTATCGAATCGGTGCGCAGAAAATTCCAAAAAGTCTCCTTCGTCGGGAGATTCAAGCATGGATCAGGGAGTTTCGTTGCTGTTTAAATATTTTCTGCTGTTACGTGAGTGCGAAACGCGTTTCGTCCGACGAGAAATACTCAAACGTCTCGTTTTGCAGGCACGTCGATGGCAGTGATCGCTTTACCAACCCTGGGTTACGTCGTAAGGAATCGCGTTTATAGGAAAGGTAATGGCTGTTACCGGGACGAGTTTAACTAAACTTGACTCTCGACAGGATCGACATCGCTTGGAGACGTACGAGGATCTGTCAGCGGAGTCGAGCGATTTCGATCTCTTCGGCAATTTGACCTTCCGATTTTCCTGCGAGGGCAAACAGATCGGTTTGTACGCCGACGTGGACTACGACTGTCGAGTTTTCCACGCCTGCGACGATTTTGGACAAGGATTCCCGGTTATCTGTCCCAACGACACGTTGTTCGATCAAAGAGAACGAGTCTGCTCAGACGAAGGGCACGTCGACTGCGTACACGCGGACGAATGGTACTGTGACCCTCGCAGTACCACGAGCGGGTCTTTTCGGACCCAGAGCTGGAGGCCTGTCTCGACTGTTTTACATTTAATTAGTTTATAAGAAGTATAGAAATAATAAAATTGTAGTTTAAAATGTTTATATACATAACATCAAGGTTCCATTTGGACCCGATCATGGGCTTTCGCGTGAATGCCTAATCGGTACTGCGAAGGTTAATTCATAGTACTTGGACCTTTCAGACCTGGTGGTAACATAATATGTGCACACGATATTTGAAACCTAATAATTTTGTATTTATATTTTCCTGAAATATTCAATAACGTTTTCTAATAGATTTTGCCCTGTGTTTGCAATCTATTTCAAACTGTAGCATGTTATCAGTTTGTAAAATCTGATAGGAAATAATCACATAGTTCCAGGTTTGAAAGGGTTCATTGTCTTGTAGCTTTTCTACGATCAATTTTTTCCTAGGTTTTACTTGAACGAGTTAACGTACTCTATGGAAATGATGGAAGGAAACGATACGAAGCTGGAAGAAATAGAAGAAATTCCTTCGGTTCTACCCCTCTTGCTGCAGTAATGCACCTGAATCTAGCCCCATGTAAAATAATATGGCATGCACAATACACGATTGTTCGAAACATTGCAATAATAAAATGTGCCTGAACGATGCCTTGTATATCTTTAAAAAATCTAGATAATTTTATTTTAGACCCTGAATAAAATACCTTACGCATTAAACTTAGGTTTAGAGAATTTCAGATAGTTATAAGATGTTCGGCTGCTAATGGTAGTCCTGTTAGTGGATAAGTACGTCATTTTAATATAATTGAAGCTAAAAGTATTGAACAATATACAGGTGCACCAACATGAGCTTTTAAATTTAGCTAATAAATATATGTACTACATTCAAATACCTCAATAAACAATTATTAAAAACAACTAAAACTAATCTAACTTCAAAAAAAAAATATTAAAACATTATTAGATAAAAAAATAAAATTTACAATCTAAAATAATTAATATATGGAAATACATAAATATTAAATCTAAAATTAAATCTAAATTTTATTTGTTCAATAAAAAAATCATAATTCAATACTATAATATATAAAACAAAATTAATTGAATTTCTTAAAAAAATAATGAAAAAATATTAAACTAAATATAATCATTTTAAATTTATTATTCTAATACTTTGATTGCTATATAAATAAATTGTATTAATTATCAAAGATATACCAATTACTCTTTCACGAACAGCAAAACTATATGTATAATGTACAAATAATCATTCTCCAAAATTATTAATTTCTATTATATATAAAAAATTATTATTAATGCAACTAAAAATTATTTTTAAAAATCTTTCTTAATAAAAATATTTTTTAAAAATTTTGAAAACTAAATTAATTCACCAAATCCAGTATATTTTTAAATAAAATCAATTTATTTAATTTCGTTTTAGTTTTATAGTTTAATTTAAAACATTTATTTTGTAAATTAATATTAATACAAATTTTTATTTATTGAAAACTATTTTCAAATTAATTTTCATTATTTTAATTTTCAACAGAAACTAATACTATGTATTTATCATTAGTCTTCAAAATTAATGTTTTCAAAAATTAAAGATGATTTTAGATGTCAAATTAAGAACAATTATGAAATGACGTTTGCGGCTTGTAACCAAGCTTCGAATTTAGTTATAAAACAAAGATTTCATTTATTATAAAAGATAGAAGAAACATTTGTTCAACGCTTTTATAAAGTTTAACTCTTTTACAAGTACAATTATGATCGAAGATAGGAGAAAAGAAACAGTTAAAATTGAAAGTAAAAGAAAATGTCGTAAAGGGAGATTGTACAGTTTAAAAAGACAAATATGGTAACGCAAACAAATCGTTTATGTGATATTACCTTCAAGGTTATTTAAAGTTTATCAGTATGTTTTGTAATAACACCATAAAATAACTTTATAGAGTAGTAGATGTCGAGATGAGTTCAACGACATAGGTAGGATCTTCGAATGACCCTGGACTCAGCAGTCCAAGTTCGATCAACACTTCTGAAGCCATTACATTCAATTCATAGCAATAACGCGTGCCCCGTTATAAGAAGATGATCTCTGAGTGTACACAAACATGATTATCAATAAACTATCCCATAGCAGGTATACCCTACTTTACTTCAAAAAAAGAAATTCTTCTTATAATATTTATCAGCAACCATTATTTCAGAGAATATGTTAGAAACGGTACGTACAGCAGAGCCTTACAAACACTTAAGGGGGTAATTTTACTCTATTGGTTCTTTTGAATTTTTGGGGGAAACAGTGAAATACTTTTGTATTAAATCTGAATACATATATTTAAATCTATATTTGAAGAATATATTTTGCCCATACAAAATATTCAATATTTTAGAAGTTACGGTAACCTTAGTAAAGGTCCTTCAAAAAAGATGTCACCATGGTTGCCACGATTTCGGTCGTTTTGCTCATTAAAAATAAACAAAATTAAAAACCATGTTATTCAGAATGGACGTGGTTATAGCTGGAATTAGAATAATAAAAAAATATGAAAAACTAGATATTTAGCAACACTTTAAATTAAAACAATCTATTTTCTGTGTTTTTTTTTATTTTTAAAAAGCATCAGATTTGGAAAATCGTAGTTCAGACGCTAGACACACTGAAGATTTTCTGCAAATCTGTTACTAATCCTTCCATTAGAATTTTAGATATCGTGGCAACCATTTCGAAAAATATGGTTTCAAGAAAGTTGCGTTTGAAGTTTTATATTACGTATTTTATACACGTTACGGACGAACGCATATAACTTTGTTATTTTTTTGCATCTAGTAGTATCCATTAGCAGAAATATTCCCGAGGACATATTCTCGTGGAAAATAGAATAAAAAATAATCGATTTTTTTTATCAGTCTAGAGTAGAATACTCCTTTAAGTGCTTATATTACTAACGAAGCTTATCATTTTGAACATTTAATTCCACTTATATCAAATAACTGTACTTTGAAGGTGTCGCTGTACGGACGAGCAATTTTAAATATTTGGGGAACATTTAGAAAATTGTATTGCATTTATTTTTTCCCCGATTTGAAATATCTAATCATATTTTTTTGAGACGTTGAGGTTGGTTCTAATCCAAAAACGTTTATGTGAACTAAGAGGATAATTTTAGTAGCTGAATACCTTGTAAACTGCAAGTAAGTAAGAATGGAAACATTCCTGGTATTCTTTCAGCGAAGGGTGTGTATATTCCTTGTGTTTAACCAGCACACCGAATCTTTAACGTTATTTTAAACAAACGTATCTATAGAAATGATCGTACACCATAGACATTCCTCAGTTTTGCACTTACCCTTGCTAAAAATAACAGTATCAATCAATTTCTTACTCATTTTACACCGTAACTGTGTAACGTATCCAGAAATAAAAACCAAAATTTACGTCTTCGTCGTTGCACACGAAAACGGATACCCCGTTATCACGATTTCTCGATCGCGACTCGAGCAAATAAAATCTGCTGACAAATTCCTCCTTTTTGATCGTTTCTCCGGCGCAATATGGAATGCAATATCGGCATACAGCATAGTGACCGTGTACTGTAAATAAAAGCAAAAGTATCGAAACGAACGAGCGTGTTTCTTGGGACGAGTCCGCTGTTAAATTATCGCGAACGTGCGTTTTCGTTTTGCCGGCGGTACCCTTCGATCTACGAAGGGTTCAACGCTCGATCACGTGATCTCGCGTGCTGTTTGCTCGGCCGCTATCGCGTCCAGATGCAACGTCCGGTCGCCCGCATCCCGTAAAAAGGCGAGCAAATAGAGAAGCAAGCGCAAAAGGGGACCTTCGTCTCGAACTAAGAATAATCTCGGATTTACCTTAACCCTGACCTTTCGAGGCGGGCGCCCCGCGGGTCCTTGAGACTTTCTTATCGCCGTAAGGTGAACGATTCGCCGGGCCTCCTTTCTTCTCTGGTTCCTTGTTTTCTCCTCCTTCTAACGTACGAACACGCGATTCTCGAGACGCTTATCTCGACGAATCGAAAGGTTGAAACAGAATTGCTCGGTGCGTTCGAGCGAAGGAAACGAGGGTGCATGGATTCCCAGACGTTTATTCTCGTAAACGCAGGATCAGCGGGGACCGCTGATCGTCTTACAAACTAAGAGTTTTACAATATTCCAACTTACGTTACGGTCTTCTATATTATTGAGCGCATCGAGTATATGGAGATCGATTAGAGAAATAGCGTAATGGAGAAACTGTTATACCCGTCACCCGTGAAATCCCATAGGAACGAACGAAGTGAACAGGAACCTGAACTATTCGTTCCCGATTAAAAACCGAGTCTCTGTAGTCCGTGCCACTAGAAAGAAAAGAATTCTAAAGTAGATGCTTCCAAATAGATCAAAGAGCTACCGCCGACGTTCGTCGGCTGTGTACGGAAGAAAATTAAAGCTAGCCCCAATGGAAACGTTTACTGTTTATCAGGCTTTAACGAAACAAACGGCGTCTTAGCTCTTAGTGGGCCAAGCGCCGCGCGTTAATTAAGTATAGCCGCTAATCGTTAACCCTAAAACCCTCAATACTACGTTATAATGGCTCTCGGGCGACACTACGCGCGAGTCTAATCGAAGCGAACACTTACGAGTCCCCAAATATACTCGGTATTCGTCCGAGACATTGTCTATCTTTATCTCTACAGCAACCAGATTTGTTCCAGCGATGTCGGTATCACTGATCAAGATCACGCCACGCGCGCTACGAATTTACTCTAAAATAACATCTCTTGACGATTATAAGCCGCGATAGTGAGAGTCGGAGCCATACTTGACGGGCCAGGAGACGCCTGATCCCACCTTGTTGTTATCGTAAACGTACTTAATCTGTGGATTGTTGTTTCCCCCGAAAAACGAATCGCGTATCATTCCTATAATGGCGGAGCCCATCGCCATGTTGCTGAGCATCCCGGCCATGGACGCGGCCGCCCGCGCGTGAGCCACGGCCATTTGAAGCAGGAAGGATAAAACGAGTCCGACACCAGGCATCATCTGCATCATCTTGTCCTTCATGGCTTTGCCCAGGTGCGCCATAGAGCTCGTCATCTTCCTCGACACGATCTCGTCGTTTAGTCGCGGCAATTTCACGATCAGACCCGTTCTCCTGTCCTGGTCGCGATCATCCCCGATGATTTTGTTCTCATCCACGTCGTCGAGCCTCTCCACCACGGACTCCTTGAGATACTTATTCGAGTGCTTGTCCAGAAACGACTTGAACAAGTTCTTGGCCCGCTTCTGCCGTTGCTTTTCTTCTTGGTCCCTGGAGGACTCTTTCTCCAAGTCGTACGTCACCTGACTCTTCAACGACAAAACCTTCGGCTCGTCGGAATCCCCGTCTTTCTCCGCCTCCAGAGACACGATGTCCACTTCTTTGTCCGCCTCGCTCGAACCTTCCACGGATCTCAGCTGGTGGTTCAAGTTCTGCAGCTTGTCGGCGAGCCTGCTGTGCAACCGGGGACCAAAAAGGACCCCGAACGCGTTGTAAGCGTCTTCCAGGCCGAAATACTTGCCGTCGCCGTCCGCATCGGAGTCGTTCGACTTGATCTTGTCCAGGAACATCGTGATGATCTCGTCATCATTCATTGACCTCTTGATGTCGACGTATTCCACGCTGTCCTTCAAGAACTGGATATCGGCTTCCCTTGAGACGTCTATGCTCTTCTCCCGTTTCTCCTTCTCCTTCTTCGGTTTCTCGCCCTCCGGACGCTGGTCCAAGACTTCCTCCATGATGTCGCTGATGATCGTCAGTATGCTGGGGAGGTTCTTGTTGTCTTTGAGCTTGGCGCCCCTGCCCTCCCTGAACCCGGAGAAGCTGAACCCCAGTTCACCGTTACCGTATCCCCTGATCTTCAAAAAGCCCACGTTCGTCTGGAACTTGTCGTCGACCAGTTTCTGGTACCAGTCAACCAAGAAGTGCTCGATCGACTCCTTTCTCGTCAGCAGCTCCTTCTCAAAGTCCCCAGTGGACATGCCGAAGAATTCCTGCACCTGGTGCTCCGTATCCAAGGAACGTCCGAGGATACCGAAACTTGGGAAAGACGGAAGATTGCTGACGATCAGCGGCCAAATGAAAATACCCAAACACCTGATGAAGCTTAGGCCAGTGATGCACTGGATGACCTGCTGCGCGAGGCCTCTGCTCGCCCGATTCTGGTCCAAGTCGTCGACCACCTTCAGTATTTCGTATTGGTCGGCGGTCAGAGAGTTTCTGATCGTGGAATTCAAACTGTCGACGTAATATTTCTTGGACGCGGGAGGAACATCACTAGCGGATCTCGCGGTCTCCCTTATTCGAATTAGAAGCTGAAGATACTCGGATTCCGTTATGTTCGGGGCCGTCAGGGACGAGGACGAAGAACTCTTAGGCGATCCGTCGGTTCCGTAATAAGTGTTCGAGAGTTCTATGCTCCTGCGTTTTCTGGATTTCGAGTCCTCAGTCTTTGTTGGTCGTTGAACGGCGTCGGGTATCTGAACCTTCTCCTTCGAGATGTCTAAGAAAATTCCTGGTGGTTGGCCTGCGTATCCGGGTACCGTTCCTTCGTTACCTAGAAAGAGGACGAGAGTGAGAAACGATAATCTGTGGGTTCAGCGTATGCCAAGCTAACGATAGATTCACCTACTGACGGCGTAATCGCTGGCGCTCCTTGGACGCCCGAACGAGAGAAGAACTGCCCACCGGAAGCGCCCTGTCCAAAATATCCGGGGTACTGCGAGAATGTCGGTACCTGGGGAATTCCGTCGGCTAACTGGGAGATCCCACCAGGTGTCTGCGACAGTCCACCGGGATACTCGGCGTTTCCTGGAAGATTCTGAATAGGTGCGCTGGGAAACGATTCCAAGGAAACCTGGGGGACGTTGGACAACGGAGAAAACAGATCGTTGATGTTGGAGAAGTCTGGCAACGAGGGTACGTATTCCTTGAGCGTGGGCCAACTGATGCTCTGCGTACAAGCTACGAAATTGTAACCTTTCGTGCACTCCAGCATCTTCTCGACGAACGTCGCTCGAGCCGAGTCCGGTATCCCGAGCTCCACGAGCTTGATGATGTGCTCCTGTCGTTTCGTCAGGTGGGGGAAGGCGAAATTGCTGTCGTCTAAGTAGGATCGTTCGAGTTTCGGGCTGGACTTTCCCAAAGAGTTCATTAGAATGTTCTCTATTCTCTTCTCGGCCTCCTGCAACAGCAGCGCTTCCGTCTTCTGGTTTGAGGTGTCCTGAGCGGCTTGGCCCCCTAAATTCGGAGATTTCTCCGACAGGAACACTTGGAACCGGATCCTGGGCGTGTTCTGATAGCCACCGAAGTTGGGGAAGCTAGGCAGGAACGGATACGTTTGGGCGATCGTCGGCCAAGTGACGTCCCTGGTACATTCCAAGAAGTTCTTTTCCCTCATGCAACGAGTAAATTTGCTGATGTAGCTTGGACGTAACGAGATAGGCAGCAGGTTCTCGGCGATCTGCACGATGTTGATCTGTTGTTCCGTGAGGAAACTAGCGAACTCCTGCGTCCTCGTCGGAACCGGAGTGCTTTGCAGGTTTGGAAGAGTGAGCTGCACGGACTTGAGGATGTTCAGTATTACCGATTCAGGCATCTCGTTGAAGATCGGGAAGAATCTCGTGTCGGTGATGGTCACGGTGGTGTCTCCGTGCACACCCGTCGTCACGTCGGTCTCGGCGAGTGGACGATTGTCCGCGTTGGATTCCGTCAGGTTCTGTTTAGGCGAATTCGAGGATGTATCGTTGCTCGAGGAGTTTAAGAGGGACCCAAAATTCGGGAAAGCGGGCAACCAGGGAAAGTACTGCAACAACGTTGGCCAAATCACGTCCCTGCTGCATATTATGAAGTTGTTTATTTTTAGACACGTGATCAATTTATCGGCGAACTCGTTACGAATGCTCTGGGGCAGCAAGCTGTCCACGATGTTCACGATACTTTGTTGTTGCACGGTGATGTAATTGAAGATTTCCTGGTTCTTGATCGTCGGGATGGTGGTTGCTCGGTTTAGATTCAGCGATTGTAATTGCACCGACCGAAGAATATTGAAGATAACAGATTCTGGGTGCTCCGTGAACAGTGGAACGAATCTGGTGCCCGTCACGCTGATCACCGGAACGTTCTGCTGTCCGTTGTTTTGCGATTCCTTGTCCTGAAAACGAGTCGACACGGGCTTCTCGGCTTCGACGCCTGAAACAACTCGTTCCTGTGCCTGTTCGTTGACCGCGGTTGCTTTCGCTTCCAGTTGTTCTTGCGCGTTCGCCAAGTTGGCCGGTTGCTTTCTGCTCTCCGGAATGGGGAACTCGGGCAAGCTTGACACGTATCTGGCGATCGTCGGCCACATCACGTACCTGACGCAATCGATGAAGTTGTCGTTTCTCTGGAGATAGACGATAACTTCGGTGACGAGACCCGGTCGAGCAGCAGGCGGTATCAGGCATTCGGCCAATCGCAGAATGTCGAGCTGACTTTTCGTTAATGTGGCGAACGTTATCGCGTTTCCGGTCAGAGTGAATGGCGGCGATGCTCCTGAGGATTTCGACAGAGATTCTCGTATCTTCAGCAGGGTATCTATGATCTTGATCTCTTGTTCGTTGGAAGATTGAAGAACCTCTGGTCTACTCTTCAGCAGTACGAAGGTTGGCGTTCCCGTTGCCTGCTGGTCGGAAGAACCTGCGATCGGCCAGTAAGAACTCAGATCTGGAAAGCTCGGGATCTCCGGAACGTAGCTGAAAATGTCTGAGATACCTGGGATTTGAAAATCTGGCAACAGGCCCGAGATGTCCGGGAGCGTGGGTATGAATTGCCTGACGGTGGGCCAGGTCGAATACTTGATACAGGTCAGATAGTTGTACTCTTTCATGCAGTTTACGGTCTTCTGGACGAATTCTGGTCGGTAGGAGACTGGGATCAGTTGCTCGGCCATGTTGATGGTCAGCAGCTGATCTTGGGGTATCAGAGCAGCGTAGGAGTCCCCGGAACGATCCAGGAACGACGTCGACGCCGATATTCGTGGCTGTTCCTTCAAAGTGTTCTGGAGAACCCGGATGATCAGCACCTCTGGTCTGGGCCTCCTGTTTCTGGTGGCATCGGCGTCCACGACTTCCGGCAATTCGCCAATGTCGCCCACGGGACTGGGAAAGGGAAGAATGGGGTACTGAGGGTACCAATCGACGACAGGGTACCAACTCTGGTAATCTGGAAAAGCTGGCAGCGCTGGGAAGTACTGCTTGATCATGGGCCAGGCGAAGTATTTTATGCAGCTGAAGTATTCGAATCTTCGGACGCAGGAGAACATCTTGTCGGAGTAATCTTGGCGTAACGTCAGGGGCAATAATTTCTCGGCCATTTGAATGATACTCAATTGATTGGAGGTCAGAAGTTCTCTCAGCGTCTCGTTCTCCGGATTGACGTAAGACACCAACGTCTCGTCGCTGGGATAGGATTCCAGAGCGTCCTGCAGGATATTGTACACCAGCGTCTCCGGGGTGATCAATTTCACCTGATGAAGATTCTGAGCTCTGCCGGACTTTTCTTTGTTAGCCTGAAACAAGTCAAACAAGTTTACCTCGATTGGTAAGTTGTCCAAACTCTGGCTGACAGATTCCGGGAGATTATTCATCACGATCGGCCAAACGAAGACCTTTATGCAATTGAAGACACTCAGTCCTCTAATGCACTCCACCATGTTGGCGACGAACGACTGCCGCTCCCTCACGACTACCAATTGCTCGGCACATTTAATTATCCGTAACTGATTGTCGGTCAGCCCAAGATCTTTCGCGATGCTCAAGTAAGACACGTTAGAATCGTCCGATTCCTTCGAAGCCACGATCTGCTCCAACGTGGCCAACAACTGTGTCTCCGTGAACTTAGGTATTCCCGGGAGTACCTCGGCGGTTTGCTCCTTCGAGCGGAGCAGAAACGACCTGTTTTTGATCTGTTCTTGAACCGTTACAGCTTGTTCCCTCCATTTCTTAAGAATACTATTGCTCCCTAACGATCGCCTTAACTGTACTAGTTTAATTTCTTTTACCTTGTTCTTGACCTCGGTCTGGACGTTCTCTTGCGCGAAGGCGACTTCATCCATCCCAACTTCCCGCTTAGAGTTCAGAACCTTGGCCTCGTCCAGCTTGTCCGTGTGTTGGGCGTCCAGGGCGTCGTCTCGAATCGATATCAGCTTCTTAATTTGTCCCTCGACGATAGACTGCTGCTCCCCGTCGGGTATCTTCTTCTCCTCGGCGTTCAGGTAGACGGTGGAGCTCTTGCGTCTGGATTTGCTCGTGCTACCATCCAAATACCTGAACTCTCTGTCCCCGTTCGAATTTTCGTCCGAACCAATTTTCTCCTTCTCCTCGTCGCTGTCCTCGACCATAACTGATTTCCGAAAGTAACCAGGGATCTCTTCCTTCGTCTCTTCGATCGCTTTGATCTGACTTTTTTCGGGAACCACCTTCGAGGGAGATTGCTTCGACTTTTTTGCCTGGTCTTCCGTGGCTTGCTGAGTTTCTATCAGTCGTTTACGAGTACCGGTGTCGTTGACTGCGTCGCCGGCGTTTTCCTGCGAAGGAGCAGCGCCATCCGCGTCCACCTGCACGTCGAACCTCCGGATTCCTTCGTCTTGGGCTTTCCCGATCTGCTCGACAGAAATTCCTTCGCTTCCCTGAACGTCGGACTTACCAACGAGAGCCACGTCGTTTCTGCGTCTCTTCTTAACCACGCTAGCGTCTTCTTGGTCCTGCTTCAGCGCGCCGGGGTTGTCGAGGCTCGACGCCTCAGCCTCGTCGCTCTTCTTCGCCTTCTCTTTCTCAGCGTCGAAATCCTGAAGGGACGCCACGGAGTTCTCTCGCGGCGACTGATCGACGGACTGGTCGTCGCTCTTTCCAGCCTCTTGCAACTTGTTCCCAATCTCCGACTGCGAAATCTTCCCTTCGATATCCCCCGGTTCCTCAGGCTGGACCTTCTCATTCTCAGCGCCATCGTTCTCGACCGTCAACAGTTTTCCCTGCACTGGTTCCGGTTGCGCACTGTCCTCCACCTTGGTTAGCTCGACGTTGGCTTTGTCCTCGACTGCCGAACGGTTGGCTTCGGGCTGGGCCAGGCCCTCCTCATCGCGGGGCACGCTACGCGCTCGGATGCCGTGAAGAACGAACAACAGGAGCAGAAGACAGAAGAAGGAACGAGGGAAGAGATAGAAGGTACTCGTTAGCTGTGGGCGTCGCGAGTTGAGTGCTCTCATGGTCGCGGTCGAGAGGCGAATGTCTCGGCCACTTCTGAGCCGGTCTATGGTCACCCATGTCGGAGAGGTATGGTAATACACATACCATCGAACGGACAGCGGGGAACGAAGATGACCGTGAGAGTGTACGCGAGCGCTCAACCAACGAGACGCGGAGGATCGCGAGATTGTGTGGATAGGCAACAGCCGGGTATTTCCATTTTTACGTAGCCCCCTCCCGCCTGCCTTCACGGGGTTGCCACGGGATCGGGTTCACGGTCTAACGGGTGTAGATGTATTCGGTTCGACGCCTCCTACGATCCATCGAAAACACAAATCCGCGAAATCGTTGGAATAGATTAACCTTTTCTTATTTGGAATTTAACGAAATTATTTTAATCGGGAGTTGAACTGTCCAAATATTTTATTTGTTACGAAATAACAGTTATTCTTTTTACTGTTATTATTTCTGATGCGAGAAGACAGTTATGACTCGAAGTACATTAACTGGAACAATTCGATAAATTTTTACTAAACAGAGAATTTGTTTTTTTTAAGGTAAAATACAAATTCTGGGTAGAGAGAAATTTTTAGTTTGCTTCGAGAAAGTAAAAGTTATACTAGGTGGGATAGAAAATTGATTACTGTTTATATTGGAATTATAACGTTATAACATGTATTAGTGATATACTGGTATTATTATTAATACAAGACAAAGAAATCATAAATTAAATTAAAGAATACAGATTGATTATGGACACTTAATGGATGAACAAAGTACTTTAATAACCAAAATACTTTAGAAAATATTTTACAATTTCTTCAATAATTCTAATTAAAACAAAAAATAGCTGAAACTTTTATATTTTATGTTTAAATATCTGTTAAAAAGTACATTGTATTTAGACCTTCTTACATCTACAGATATAATTCAATCAAAAGTTTTTCAATCAAAGATGTAGTTCGATTAAATAAAATTATTATAGCGGTTTTTAGATTGTTTGAAAACAGCCGTGCAATACTGAATGAATAAATAAATGGTTTATCAAACCAAACTTATATTTGTAATTTAACTTACAAACCAAGAAAAAAAATTCCTTTAAAATAAAGATTTCTTCGATTAAAGACATAAATGTACTTATTTCATGATACATAAATTATATTGAATATTATATTTCAACTAATAAATATTATTTTGAATAAACCTATAGCCATATTTTATTGAACGTTTCATTAAGAATCCAGTGATTTCATTTACAAGAATCTACTAGTAAAAATTCTGTTTAAACACACGTAATTATATTTCATACGATGTTAATACAAAAATCATCCAAATTTTGTTCTTCATTTCATAAATAGATATGAACATAGTTTTATCTCATTAAAATTTTATCATTAAAAAATATATTTTTTAATAGAATTCTTTTTAGTCTAACAGACAATAATAGTTTTTAAAAACGATTAACCTGAAACACAAAAGAAATGGTCTGAAAGTTAAAATGCACAAATAACTTACTTTTAAAAATTAATACTCTGACTTATAAATTATTTTGTTACCCGTAGATCTTGTGTCTGTCTTTTCACCATATTTCCTTCGTGGGTCACATTCCTGATGTCTGTGTAAAATCGTCCTACTATTAAATGGATTTCATCTTCATTGTCTGATCTATGAAACTGTATCTACTAATTTAACTCCTTACGGACAAGGATATCCATAGCGATCGAGCGTATCATCTGGCCAACGTGTTCCCTATCTGGTTTCAATTTCTATTTAATTATTCAAATTCATTGTAGATATAAAATTTGAGTCTTCTATTATTACAATTTCCATTGTTTAAACTTAATATCAGGTACTTCTATATTAAATGATTTTCTCAATATTCCCACCTAGTTTTAATGACAGTTTCTGTTCAATATTTATTTGTTTCTGCTCTAAGAATTGGACATTACACAATTAAGACAAATTATGTTTCAAATTTGATAAAAGATAGAAAAAAATGATAGAGAAAGAAGTTTTATGATATGGTAATATCTACTTTTTTACTACTTTTTCCATTACTGTCAGTTGTCTACATACTGTCAGGATAAAAAGAAACAATTTTCTACACAACTAAATGCACCTTTGAAAATTAGTCTTCTCTTTAAAGCCACCCCTGTAAAACTTAATACTATTCCACTACTCTATAAGGAATAATAGGTTAATAGGTTAATAGTAAAAAAATGATTATGGAATGTTAATCAAGTTTTATGGAAGGAATGTTTTATGAGAATGTTAATTCATTTAATTTATCGAGTATTTTATATTGTAAGATACATACGACTCGAAAGTCGAAGATTTTAATTAAAACTAGAAAATAAAGGCAAACATGTAGTAGCCAATAAATGTTTCATTTTGTACGAACATAACAGGTGTGTTCTACTTATGGTTGTGTATTACTTATGACCGTTGAGTAATGCGATATTGACGGCACTCGTCTATAGTGGAATAAAATGACATAATTATACATAGTCTTTCAGATGTGCGAAAGATTTAACGAATTTTGGAAGTCGTTCGAATTTGAAAAATGTTTTAAAGTAAAACCAACTTTGCCTTCTCACTCTCTACTTAGTGTAACAAAATCTTCGAGGAAATTAAATTCTAACCTTTGAAATGATGCAGGATGATCATTGTGAAACTTCTTTTCATAAAATTAGTCGATAAATTCACAAGGTTGGCTTTAATGTTCGATACTTTTTCTCTCGATATTGTTCGCGGTATCATCTCCACCACTTCCTAGAATTGTGAATGAATTATCAAAATAATAAAAATAAAATTTGAATATTTCCCAGTTTCTATTGTAAAATTAGTTTTTCGCATTGGTGAGCTTTTTCCAATAGAAATAATACCAAACAAGACCATATTTGCATTCCAAAGTAAGAATTAGAAAAGGGATGTAAATAAATCATATACTTCTTATAGTAATGTAAGGTGAGAAATACCAATAAAAGTAAAAAAAAGTAGTACTACAATGCAAATATAAAAAAGTGATTATACACAGAAGATACATAACATTATTTTTGATAATAATAATCTATTAAAACCTTAAAAGAGACTCTTAAGAACAGGATATTCCCGGAATAGTCCCTCCCTCAATAATGTTCGCATCTTGGAACCAAGCCAGCGAACGTTAGCGAGGGATTACTGTACCTATGAACAGCAATGTATGTACATAAAATGCACAGAAATGCTATTGTAGAAGCTAATTCCATTTAATAGTTGACTAACCCTGTTAGTGCAAGGGGTTATATCGTCCATATTTGTACAAAATGTCGAAGTAGATAATTCTTCAATCGTTTGGACTATCAGAGCTACGACACAGTTGTGCGAGCATGTCGGTGTACTGCAGCCGACCGCTGCAGTATCCAGTTTTGTTTCTTCTTACGGCCAGGGCAGTAATGAGCCAATTAGCCTTGAGGCAGTGGTGCTCGGAAAATAACGTGGTTTGTTCTCCTCTACGCGTGAGATGTAGCGCGGACGTCGTCGACAATTCGCTACTCGGCCACTTGTTCCTCATATTCAGTCCAACATTTCTGTCTACTCGCGCCCCTTCTTCGAATCCGTGACTCTGTTGGGTCGACGTACGTTTACTGGTACGCATTCGCGTGAAAAAAAGTCGTCCCCTAGGTTTGCACAACGACCGTGGATAGTACAGGAAGACACGCTACCAGCTACAGTGCGTAACAAAAAGTTGTACGCACCCACTTTTTTTCGATTATCTAACGAACGAGTTGTGATCCATGGATGAAACTTTTATATAATAAAGAGCATCTAAAAACACCTATTCTTATTATTTGTATCATCCGAATTGGAGCACACGTTCCCGAGTTGTGCAGCCGGAACAGTTTTCGGCTGGAACGAAAAGTTGTACGCACTTAATAAAAAATTAATTTAGTAATATATAAGATGCATTTTATTGATGGATACAGTGTTTTAATAATTAATGGGACCTCCTTTATTTTCTAATACTAAAAGGAGTCTCCTCGGAACACTTTGGATCAGTTTTTTGAGGACTTCCGGTGTGATCTCGTTCCAAGCGTCGATTATTGCGTCCTGTAGGCCAGCAATGGTTTCGAATTGTCGATGATCCTTATACACATCTCTGGCTATAATTCCCCAAACATCTCAATAATATTCAGGTCCGGACTTATAGCCGGCCACTCCAAAACCGCGATATTCTGGTCCGCGAAAAACTTTTGGGTCTCTTTCGAACGGTGAATAGCGGCATTATCTTGCTGAAAAGTATCTCCATCATCCATATGAGGCAAAAGGAATACTTCAAGAGTGCGAATGTAGTCCTTCGAAGCCTGTCGACCGCTTAGAAATGCAATCCGCGATTTCTTCCCGAGTTTGAACGCGTCCCAAATCATAACACTTCCTCCGCCGACTTGCCGTCTGACCTTCCGGGGTTGTTCCTTCCTGGTATCCTGCCAGCAGTAGCCCCATCTATCAGGACCATCCAGATTGAACTTCTTTTCATCGGACCACCACACATTATTCCATTCGGACGTCCACGCATGGTATTTCCGTGCGAACTCCAACCTGGCTTCTTTATGATGCGATTTCATTCTTGGTTTTCTGGTGATTTTCCGATATTTGATATTGGAATCTTCAACTAATCTTCTTCTAATAGTTGTATGGGATACCTCGTTCTTCAGTTCCGCGGAAATCCGGCGTGTAGACATCTTCCCGTCCGTGGCCAGCTTCTTGATCCTCCGAAGTGATCGCTCATCCAACTTTCTTGGACGCCCTGGAGACTTCTTCTTTCCATAATTTTCACGTAATCTGATGAGGTTTCTAATTACTCCATCAGATCTACCAAGTTCTCTTCCAATTTGTCTCATTGACTGTCCGCGACCGTACATTTCCCATGCACGGTTCTGCTCCTCCACGGATAATTTCGCACCACTTCCCATCGTTGTAGAATCAGAACTACGAGCGTCGATATCGCAACGACAAAAGACGAGTGACGATATTGTAACGACAAAAGACGTTCGTCTATTTCCAGTCTGATTCTACAACAATGTTTTATTAAGTGCGTACAACTTTTCGTTCCAGCCGAAAACTGTTCCGACTGCACAACTCGGGAACATGTGCTCCAATTTGGATGATACAAATAATAAGAATGTGTGTTTTTAGATGCTCTTTATTGTATAAAAGTTTCATCCATGGATCACAACTCGTTCCTTAGATAATCGAAAAAAAGTGGGTGCGTACAACTTTTTGTTACGCACTGTACCTTCGAACAACACATGGTCAATCGATACAAAGATCCTAACGATTTTCACGCTCGGTGCGAAACTTCTTTCACGTTTTCATCAAAGTCGAGCTTACTTTACACGCGGATAGCGAATAAAAAAGTTTTATTCGTTGCATGGAGCTTATTTCACCGTAATTGCGGTTTGAGATATTTGTTAATGGATTGTGAATTATGAATAAATTTGAAACTTTTATTTGTTATTCGTGAGTAAAGAATAAACTTTTGTTTTTTGATGAAAAAGATTGTTTAAGGGAGGTACTGACTCTCACCCCACTTAGTACATTACTGTGTCATACATTTTGTAAAATAATATTGTATAACATGAAAACAACTTTATTACAAATATTTATTTTAATTTGCCGTTCAGTCGGTAGTTTCTATTTTCATATTTTATTTAACAAGATATTTATTGTAGCTTAGAGAATTCAGAAGTTCTAGAAAATTGACTTATTTGCGTGGATAACGATTGTACCCCGTCCATTTTTATTTTTGTTTACTTTTTACATTCGTATTAACATTAAGAAACACGATTCTTAAATGTTAATATTAATAAGCAATAATAAATAGGTTGTATATTTTTAAAAATGCCTGATTAGTGAACTCAACATGTCTTCTTTTTGTCTTCTTACGAGTAATGTATGCGAATAAAAGATGATGGCTCGATTATGCCATGTTTTGTATCATTCAATAAATTAGATCATTTGCAATTTTTTAATATAATCGATAAAACTATGTTCATATTTGTTTATGAAACGAAGAACAAAATTTTGATGATTTTTGTATTAACATCATATAGAATATAATTGCGTGTGCTTAAATAGGATTTTTAGGAAATTCTTGTAAATGAAATTATCAGATCCTTAACAAAACGATCAATGGTTTATTAATAATAATACATATTTATGTAAGTAAAATATAATATTTAATATATTTTGAAGATCATGAAATAAGTACATCTATAATTCCTTTTTTGGTTTGTAAGTTAAATTACAAATATAAGTTTGGTTTTTATATTGCGCAACTGTTTTCAAACAAACGTTTTCAACCTTCTCCGGATTTGTTCATAAAAAAAAATTTCAATCTATAAAAATTCTATGATAATCTGATCGAATAAATTTTTCTTAAATGGACGCATAGAAAACTTTGTTTTTTAAATAAAATCCAATATTTTTAAATACATTTCCTACACAAAAATACTACCCTATTTATAGAAAAAAAAACGTTAACTAAGAGATATTTAAATATTATTATTGGGTAGCAGTTCTCAATTTCGGTGTAACTAATATGTTGAAACATTTTTTAGTATAATCAAAAGTTCTGAAAATATTCGAGTGGATCGATTTAAACGGACCTCTCAGTGTATAATTAGAAATGTAAAAGAATTATGTTCAAAGGCATCCCTTTTTAATAATTTTAAGCAATGCATTACAAGTTTGTACGCCAAATCTGATTTGTTTAACTGCTAAAAATTGTTTTCATTCTAATTTACCTTTATACTGTAATAAACTTTGGTTCACGGAAAGATTCTGTTTTTATGTAATTACTGACATAAACAAACGATTGATACACTCGAATGAGGGTCAAATTTTACAGAGCTTTCGAATTAGATTATTACTTGATATTGCTAAATTATTCTCCACAAAATGAACAGAAATTCTGAATAAGCAGAATCTTTCGTAGATCTTAATATTGCGAACACAAGGTGTATTGGTGCAACGTCTTTTAGATAAGTATCATTTTAAGATAGGTTTATTTACTGTTGATTGTAACAAATAGAAAGTAACAAATTATTTCAATTTCAAACCAAACGCAAACGTGATAATCATTTAAACGATATCATATTTCATCGAGTGTACAACAAAATAAAATAATGAGCGCCAGCCTATCTTCTGTAGCTTTCATCTCAATTCAAATCGTTCTGTCGTTCTTTTTGAGAGATCCTGCATTCATATCCCGCATCTACGATAGAATAAACAGATTCCGAGGAAATTTCTCGGGATAAACCGCGAATGAGTTAGACGGGCGGATCTCGAAACAAAGATTTCGTTCGAGAAGGAAATATTCGAAGAATCTATTCTATCGCGATAACCTTGATGTTATTTGTAACGAGCATGTTGAACGAACCTTTTAAGCCTTCGCCAGCGATCGAGAACACACGAGTCGAAGGAAAAAGGAACAAAAGCGCCGCGGGGGAAGAAGCAGTCGCGGAGGCTGGAGGATGCAGCTGGAACAAAGTGCAAGACCAGGTTTCAGGTTCGTCTTTAATACGGTCTTTCTGGTTCTGGGCGCAAGGGGTTGTATTTTTAGTCCTTGAGGGAATCGAGACTAGAAGGGACGGCCAGGGAGGAAGAGGAGCTCCCAGCTGCAGGGAGGGTAAAGAATTTTTACGACGCGTATTATTTTCCAAGATGGCCTCGTCTGTTTCCATGTTCGGCCTCTTCTTCTCTTCTTCTCTTCTTCCCAGCCGGAGTCACTTAGCAAAGCCGATGCAGTAAACCTGTACTAGATTTCTTTCTTTTATCCGCCGAGCGGCCGGCTCTGCTCTTAAGGCGCGTTCACAACGCTCTTACCGATTTTGTTAATCGTAACTTGTATCGAGTACGCTATTCCAGGATGCTCGAATCGCTGCTTTCCACCGATCGCCGCAGCGCCGGATCTAGAAGCTCGCAGAAGGGGCTAACAAAGAAGCGTGATACAATTCGAGAATCCCACCTTTGGAAATTAAAAATAAAAATAAAAATATTACATTTGTTCGTGCCTTGGTTTTTTATTGTTTTGTTAATGGATTTTTAAGTAAGTACAACCGATATTTAACAGTGTTTATATTTACATAAAGTCACAATTATTGCATGACATGCACCTCTGGAAATTATAAATAAAAATAAAGATATTACATTCCTTCGTACCTTAGTTTTTCCTCATTTTATTAGTAGATTTTTAAGTAAATAAAACTAATATTTAACAGTATTTGTATTAACATAAAGTCACAATTATTGCATGTTCTTTCTTATGAAGAAATTTCTGATAAGAGCAAATGTTTTAATCTGTTTTATGAAGCAATAATAACTACTACTTTTACAATGTATACCAACTGTCGATACTAGAGACCCAAAAGTTAGCTTTTTGATTTCATCAACATACAATTTTTGTTTATAGATGAAAACCAAATTTATTTATATGGCGGATGGTCTAAATAAAGTGTTACAAACTGTCTTCTCAGGAACAAATGGAGAGAGGCTAATCTATTCATGCATACGAAATTTTTTTGAGATGACTGTTAGAAGGAATTCCGAGATTCTTTTTAATGGAAGATGGTGTTATTTTTTTGTTGTTTAGAAAGATTTTATCAAATCGAGTAACATTTACTCAAACTATTTTTTAAACTTGTGTACAGTTATAAATTTATACCACACATACAGATAGAAATGCATATTCGCAAATAGAATAAAAATAACTTAAAATACTTGTGCCTAAATATATTTGTAAAATCTATTTTAGTTTATCGTCTTAACTCTGTCACTGTGCACAATAAAAAAACTAGTTTAAGTAAATGTTATTCAACTTGATAAAAGTTATCCAAATGACAAAAGAATAATATCACTTTCCATTTTAAAAAATCCAGGGGCCCTTCTTTTTTTCTAATAGTCGTCTTAAAAGAATTTGTTGCACATGAAAAAAATGAGATCAATATCTTCGTTAGTTTCTGAAAAAACAGCTTATAACACTGCATTTAGACCTCATCTATAGTATATGTATACATATTAATTAAAAAATAAATTTATTCCTATTATTTAGTCATTTTTTTACGAATATAAATCCATTTAATAATAGCTTAAGTATGTAAATAAAATGAATATTTAATTCATATTAAATTCTATGTATTGACAAAAATCATTCATAATTAATTTACAATAGAAAATTGACTTAAAATCAAATATTTTCAACCATAATATTGAATTAAAAAATAAATTTACTTCTATTATTTAGTAATTTTTTTTACGAATATAAAAATTACTTTATGGAACGTATAATAGCTATGTTTACAATCAATATAAAATTGAAATCCTAGAGACTCTGGAGTATGTTTTTTTTATTTTATCTACATACAACTTTTTTTCACACATAAAAACTGAATTGATTTACACATATACATCATCAATTTGCAGTATTTGCATTTCGGTACTATTTAATTTTAGTATTATTCTGAAGGAGGTCAACAACTATGGCCAAAACGTCAAAAGGACGAAATAGAGATTCATTTACTAAATCACAATATAACAACATAATAATATAACAACATGCATTATAACACAATAAGAAGAAACATAAATTATAAATTATTCTAGTTCATTTATTTATTTTGATAACTTGTGCAAAATAAAATTACATTAAATTAGAAATATTAAGTTCTGATGACTGTTCGACATACATTTTATTATTTTAGTATTGTACTGCATTTAGTATTGGAGCTGAAGTTCCTGTATCCCCGCCCCTATATCCATCACTGAACCATCGGTCATTTTATGCGATTTCCGTCGAGATTTTACTGTCGCTGTCTGCGCTTTCTGTTTCGTTACGAACAAGAGAAATTCAATAATTCACTATTACCATCGTGTAAACCTGAATTAATAGCACGTATATTTATTGAAACCCATTAAATGCATTAAAACGCAGTTTTGTTTCTAATTAGGATATACCGTTACAATAATTAAACTCAACATGAATCGATAACAAATAACATTTTACGAGCTCTCTAACTTCAAGCATGGAATCCAAAAAATCGGTAAAATTGATTTCAGTAAATCTAGTGTTAAAAATCCTGCCTACAAATGCCGTGCTCGATAATCCAAGCAACGCAGGGGGAACGGTCAGCGCGTTATTGACTCTTTGTGAAAGTCATTACCGCTAGTAATTACGTAAAGATTGCGGGCCACAAAGCATTAACCTTACCGTCTGCGACCAGCCACTCGTTTGTATGGAATTAACAGGTCGTGAAGCGATTAAAAACGCTGGTCAACGAATGACCGAACGCCTAGTTCCGTTTCCACCGTTACGTCCTGTTCCAGGGGCCCCGAAATCGAACCTTTAAAATCATTTCCTTTTCCGTCGATGCATCGATGCACCGATCGCATAGCCCCGCGTTCATCGTGGCCAAATTATCACGCCCTGGTCGAGGAACGTGCCAGCATGGTGACCGTGACAGTGATATAGAAAGTGGGACATGGCATGACCGTAGGAACGAAGAAATTCGTGAACGTAAAAGGACTCGAACCGATCTGTTCGAGGAATGCACGGACGACTAGGGGAATGCGGCGCTCCTGGGTAATCGGACGATAAAGTAATGCATGCCTGGAAACGCAGCGAGGCGATCATAGACCGTACCGCCGTGAGCACGTGTAGCGATTCCAGTCGGTGTTCTCCGGAAAGTATTTCAGCAACGTACAGGCGGCGCGTCCACGAAATTCGAGCCGCCGCGCAGATCCGCCGCGCAACTCGCCGATCTTTTGAGTTCGAACGGCGTGGTGGCCGTTCGTCCGAATCATACTGCGGCTCGTGCGTGTTCGATTAGCACGGGGTGTGTGCACGGTGTGTTCCCTGGTCCCGAGCCCACGCAAATTCGTCCTCCGAGCGAACCCATCGTGCGTCGATGAGGAGGATCACGTGATCACTGAAGCAACCGGTTCGACAATGAGCCCGATTGGCTGGACGCTGGCGTGTATGCTGCTCACGAGCACTTTTTCGAAAATCTCGTGGAGCGTCGAGTGCGCGCGCGTCGCCGACGAAGCTGGACGCGCCAAAGTCACGAAACTTTTGCCGATTCCCGACCGCCATGACGTCAATTTCGACGTACGAGAGCTCAGAGAATTCTTGGACGATTTGTTCAATGGCGGGAACAGCGTTCAGGGTGAGTTCAAACTGTTTTCTATATTGTTTCGTTATCGAAAGTGACGGTGTTTGAGTTGGTGAAACGTAATCCGATTTTTAAATACACAGAATCGATCAGTAGACAAGCGCGTACTTTCGGTCTGAAACGAATACAATTCATGCTGATGCCGATGGTGTACAAAATGGGAGTGATGATGACTATGTTGACGGTTTTGACGGTGATCTCTTTGAAGGGATTGCTCATTGGTAAGTACATAATTTCGGGGAGTGGAACAAACACGTTTGACGGAAAGGTAACGGTGAGCTTTTGTTGGCGTACACTGTTTGCATACGCAATCAAGAGACATCGACGACCCATTTCATCGATAAAGACTTCTTCGCGGGTCACCGGTCTGTGTTAGGATGTGCAGACCCAAACTTTACCGGTGGACCTACTTTCTTTTATCGTATGTTTGTTCGATACAAAATTTAATATCGATGTTACAGTCTGTGTTTAACCCCTCTGTGTTTAGATTATGTTTACGAGATAAATATCTGTTAAAAACTATTTGCGTTGATTTTGAGTTACAGTACTCTTCCAATCTACATCGTTAACAAATAAGATACACACGTTAGATCTGGATTAGATCTGAATTACTTTCTTTTATCGTATGTTTGTTTGATACGAAATTTAATATCGATGTCACAGTCTGTATTTAACCCCTCTGTGTCTAGATTATGTTTACGAGATAAATATCTGTTGAAAACTATTTGCGTTGATCTTGAGTTACAATAGCTCGCGAAAGTACTCGAACTCTTCCACTCTACATCGTTAACAAACAAAATACACACGTTAGGCCTGGATTACCTTCTTTTATCGTATGTTTGTTCCATACGAAATTTAATATCGATGTTACAGTCTATGTTTAACCCCTCTGTGTCTAGATTATGTTTACGAGATAAATATCTGTCGAAAACTACTATTTGCGTTGATCTTGAGTTACAGTAGCTCGCGAAAGTACTCGAATGCTTCTAATCTACATCGTTAACAAATAAAATACACACATTAGGTTCAAGTTTTCAAAATAGGATTTGAGTTTCGAGAATGTATAAGTGAAATTCAGTACAAGAAAATTCAGTATAAACATACCGTTTTTGGAACGTACGAATAAGTCTTGAATTGTTTGATATTAAATATCCATTTTGTCCTCCTTTGGCATCAATAACGTATCTTAGCTTCCTGTACCGTATACAAGCTTTTCTGCTGTCTTTTTTTTCAATGGAATTCTATATTTCTATTTTTCAATAATAATTGGAAGTTTCGAGATAAGATTTATTTTCATTATGGAACTTCAATATTAATTCGCGTTCACGTTTACTGGTTTCTGATTTTTCCGTGCCTACGAAACCTGTATGAACCACACGATGTCTCGAAATCGAATAAAATGTAATGTTTACATTTCATTCACTAGAAACATATATACGCTTCTTGTCTACGCGTTCGAATATTTTTGTCACTCAATGTCTTGTCAATTCTGTATGTGTTGTCATATTTTTTCATAATTTCACTTGTACATTCTCGAGAATTGTATGTGACGTTATTTATCATTTTATTTTGAAAACTTAAACGTGTATACTTTATTTATTAACAATTAGATTGGAAGTGTTCGAATACTTCCGTGAACTACTATAAGGTTTGAAAGAATCTTAGTAGTTTTATTAAAACATATATTCTTCTGTCTATATCTAATGTTCAAAACAACATATAGCATATCTAACCACATTTAAATAAAAAAAATCTGTTCGAATCACTTTGTCATCGTTCAAGCATTATTTATCGCAAGTAAACCAGTCAATGGAACAAAAAGACCACTACAAGGTGAAACGTATAAGCACTTCAAACTGTTGAATTTCCTTTTATTTAAAATATTAATGACAAAATTGTGGATGTTCATGCAAACGTGTATTTTTGTAGAAATATAGGATTTAGATTGTTATTTGTTTCGTCGTGAGAGGACTTTAAACTTATATTTTTTATTTTACATATTTCATCAATATATCTACATATTTATCTCTGATAAGATTAAAAATTGCAAACAATTTGATGATGAGAATATGGAAGGATAGAATAATGTATCGGATACAATATAAGTATAACGTTCGTATCCATTCGAATGCATTATAATTTACCAAAGTATCAGTTATAAAAGTATTATCAATTATAATTATGAATTTACGTTATGTTGTTAAATTGCAGTAAATTGAAAAGAATATTTTTCACAGTTTCATAATACTTCGTTTGTTAAACTTACTAAGGATTAGCACGGATTATTGCATAAAATTTTCCCACTTAACATTACAAAGAATGTTTTTATTATGTTTCCAATTAGGCACAGTATGCGTTAAAGGGTTAAACAACTTACGGTGATCTATGATGACTCATTAGGAAACCACGTTTTCATTTCTGGTTCTTTTATGAGCTGTCCCAAATAGCTGGTTTACTTTTTCCTGAGATGCGTCGTTGGATTTTTGAACACAACCTAAAACGCATTCTATAACAGCTATGACAAGTCAAAAAGCTAGCAGCATGACCGATCCATTCGTTACTATCAATTTGAATCGCGACCTTTTGAGAATTAATTTTATAGTCATCGTTTATTTGAAAATCGAAGATTAAAGTAAAGCAATAATTCAGCTTGTAGACGATTATCTATATTAATGCCAAGATTTAACAATGGTCTTCTTCGTTATGTACAGTGTGACTCATTTGAAGCTGAAATCTAAAATATTTCTGTTATTTTCAACGACACGAAAAAATTCTTTTCTTAACAGTACATTTTTCGAGATTTTAAAGTCGTCGACGTTATTTTTAAATATAATAACGTATTACAGGGATTATTATAGAGATGCCTCTAATATAAATATGTAGATCTACTTAAAAATTTAAAAGTAAATATAACAAATAGTTAAGAACCAGGAAAACAATTTTTCTAATGAATTTGTACGACTCAATTTTTTATTTTATCGATTCCAATTCTTCAGATACAAAATCGATTTCTGAACGTCCCTAAATTGCTTTATTTTAATCTATAATAAGACACGTTAAACAATCGGGTGTCTAGCCCTATATTTATGAGTTAAACGCGTAAAGAACTCGTAAAAATGTCCACTGAGTTGGACAGAAGGTCCGAAAAAGTGAATTTGAAACTCTATCTAGCTCCTATTGCCACAAGTCTTTCTGGAATCGTTAGATTCGAGAATGCACGAAATTGCATAGACGTATTAATTTCGTTCCAGGTGCCACTCTGTTGATGTTAAAAATAGGTACAATAATTGCAAAGATTTCGTCCAGCTGGCATCAACAACAAGCACCGGCCTGGTCGTCTCAACCGATCCACGTGCACGTTCACAACAGTTTGCCAATGGGGCATCATCCAGCGTACAGTGGTTGGATGCAGCACAGCGGTCCAGGAGACGAGGAACACTATTATTATAGAGGACATTGAAGAAAAACTTCCGAGAGCATCCTCTCACGGATGGAAAACTATTTCATCGGCGACCACAAATGGAACTAGGCTATCGCATATCGTCCGCTATCGTTTCCTCTTCTTTTCTTTTTTTTTTTTAACAGCATCCGTTTCTCCCGCAATTGCGGTTTTCGTCCAACGATCGACGATTCGGCGAATCGAAAGCTCGATCTCCGAACGAATCTTCTGTTTAGCCCAGCTAGGCATACTCTGCGAACCAAAGGAAGTCTATGATCTAAGGATGTCCTGAAAATTATGGCACGAATCGCCAAAAGTAGTTTATAGTAAAACCTCGATTTAAGTGATTGGAGGGAGCAAGTTACATTAAAATGTCCGTAAAATAGTATATGTATGTAGAAGAGGAATCATATCGTGAATAGATATGTGACAGATTCGGGTTGGATGTGAGTATATGTGATTAAATACGGACTACGTGTGAGAAGGAGGTGATTCTACGTGAAAAAAACAAATAAAAAATAAAGAATAAAATTTTGTCATTCGAGGGTTCGTTTCTCAGGAAATCTTGATTGACTTTAAAAATTCATTGTGTAAACAATAGAGTTCGATTTGGACGTTAGCATAAGTAGAAACAGTGAGTTATGGATAGACACGCCAGAGAAATTTGTAATTTCAAATTCAACAATCTCAAAAACGAAGCCTTAAATTAAAGAATTTTATCTGATATGACTATATTTATACCTAAAATTGTTGTATATACATAATATCATATATGATGACTCTTATGGATCGATTATGAACATACTATAATATGGATATTTTTTTGGGGTTGAGTAAGAAATGATATGCTTTAAAAGCAATGGAATCCATTTTGTGAGCTAATAACCAAAATTTATGAATTTATTCGATTTTATTTTTCTACAACATGGGTCGGTGTTCAAAATCCTCCGACTGAATTAATAATGAATTTATTTTATTTAGAAGAGAAATCATTTAATTCGACAGATTTTATGTTTATTTTAGAAAGACTAAACAATTTAAAATCTTGATTGCATAACCAGATTTAGAGAAACAATTTCAGCAAAATTTGTTAAGAAAATTTTACAAGATTTATGGCATGATATTTCTTTATGGAAATAATTCATTTTATGAACATATACTAGTAATCAAGACATAATTTCTCTTTTGAAAAATAAACTAAAATTCACGATATAAAGGATAAAATGACACGTGTAAGAACCTAAACGGAATATGGGAATACAGAATTCTGTCCGTTACATCTGAAATTCGTTAAGTCGAGGTCGTACTGTAAAAAACATAGTATACATTTATTTAGTGCGTTGTTGCCAAGAGAAATGATTTTGAACATGAAACTATGAAAAATGTTATCCAAAAAACTTTGATCTCGAATTTCTTGAAGAAAAATCTAAAGTAAATAAAACTATTTTCTAATATCTGAAAAAATAACTTCAAAATAAAAAGTTATTCACTTAGAGAACATAGCACTTAAAAGTTTTGAAATATAAGCAGTATAAATGAGGTAAGACATAAATACTCTCATATAACGAATTATTGAAAAACATAATTTTAATTTATAAAATTAATATATAAAGTATTAAAATAGATTTATTTCTCCAATTTTGAGATTTGGTTTTGCCTCTTCGATATCTGCCATTGTCAACAAAATATTTTTTTAATATTTTTGTAAACACTACTTCGTACAAAATTTCCATATATGTTTACAATTTTCTCGTGTATTATCGAATTATTACGAATCAAGTTGAATACGTGTTGGTTCTCAAATTCTTCAAATGCTAAAATAAGCTATCTTACGTTTAATGTCATCAGTCAGACAGCTACAAAACAATTTCATGTTTTAAATCATTTTTCTCGAATTCCGTGTAATTGATTTCACGAGGAATTTTCTTGGTAACCATGATTTACTGGACACCTTGTATAAGTATTAACGATAACTTTAGACAAATTTAATTTAATTTAATATCATTTAACATCAATTTAGTGTTAATCGGTTTCTTCTGCAAAGAGTTGAACCGCAAAGCATATCAGAAGGACTTTCCTTTATTTACAATACTTCGATTCATTCCCTCTTAAGGAATATAACTTGTATAATTTACCAATTGAAATTTTACAGATAAAAATTGCACAATCCCCAAATGATATGATAATCATAAAAATGCAAACTTAAAAAATATGAAACTAAATGAACAAAAATCTTAAAAGTTTGCAATTTTTATCTACAGTTTCTTTTGACAAATATGTCATATTAGTCAAGAGTGTAGAAAGTATTTAAAATGAAAGAAAATTTTCCGATGTGCACTACTGATCGAAGATTTTCCTAAAGAACCAATCCGTTAACGAAATCAACGTTGACCAACCCAATATTTAGTATCGATTGATCGCAACTAGGAATTAGAGACACCCACCTTTAAGAAATAACCGTGTTTACCTCACGTTACTGCTAATTTATTTGTAAAAAAAAACTACGCCACTCGTGCATCTAGCTATTTATAAATTTACATGTACCATCGTAGAAACTATTTATTAAATTCATTCTAAAATTAACTGTTGTTGTGTCGGTGACGCCTACTATTTCAGCAGAAATCAGGCGATCGTTTCGTGAATTCGGGACGCTCGTAACGAAAGTGTCGATCCCTCGACGACGAGTAAGGATCATGTGATCCGATGGGAGGAGAAAACGGGCCCCAACGAGACGCTGAAAATCGAAAGGAACGTTTTCAAGCAGCTCGGTTGAATTTTCCGCGTTTCAAGGTCGGCTGAACTCGTTCGAATCGACGACCAACCGCGTGTGCATCGCGCCTTCTATGACGGCAGTTGCATCGACAGGCTGCACAGACCCAGTTTCCTGGCCTTAGTGGGGTAAGCATAGAGCGAAAAAGGAAAAATGTCTGTTCTCCGCTCGACAGATCGGCCAGTATCCTCTTCGTCGACCAAATGCAAGGACGCGTTTTGACCGCGTAACCGATTACGAAACATCGAGGGGACGTACAGATCGCGTTTCAGTGACGAGGACAATTTGCAGTGTCCGATGAAAGGATGTCCGTGTCTGCTCTGAGAGCTGATCGGGCACGACGGAGTCCCCGGATGTGAGGAAAAGTTAAATGATTTTGAATTTGGATATCCGTGTCGCACGCGATCCAGCGGGCAACGGTGGCACTCGGATATTGTGCTCCAATAACGGGTGAAATTTAGAAAAATGGGAAAATGCGACGAGCACAGTCCTAACTTTGATCCGTGAGCTCGAGGTCCTTTCGGTTTACTTTTGTCTCCTCGAAAGTGGGTCTCCAAACGATTCGAAACCATGAATGGACCGGAAGCGGTATTTTGGTGGCTCTGTTTCGTGATCGCGTCGTTCGGATTCGTTAGAACTGACGATAAGGTGGAGTCGAAGGGTGCAAACGAAACCCTACAGCTGAATATTTCTCGAGGAGTCCAGCTGTACGTCGCGAACGAGGAAACAAGGGTTATCGTAAGAATGTCTACGCTACTCGAGAGTGAGTAATATTTTCGGGCAGAGATTAATTTTAGAATATTCTATCGCTGCGATTTCTCGTTTTAGGAAACGAAATAGGACAGAGAAGCACCGGCAGATTGAAATTCAACGATACTTTGAAAAGAATCGGAATGGCGATGATGATGGCTCCTATGATAATACAGGTTCGAATCGATACAGAATACCGTTCATGGACGTTTCAAACTTGGTTTTATTAATTAACATTATGTTACTTTACAGTTAATGTCCTTACCCGGGACTCTCGCTTCCATAAAATTCAGTTTGCTTAGAAGCATCTTTGTGGGAAAGCTCGCGTTGCTCCTGATTCTCTGGAACATATTCAAAAACACGCAACGATCGGAGGTGGTGTTGGTCCATAAACCCGAATACCACGAGCATTATTACGATAATTACCACCACAAACCGGATGAAGATGAAGGCTGGCTTGGAAGATGAGCAAAATGATAAAAGACTTTTTAACCAAACGTTGAAATTATGTCGGAATACTCTGCGAGCATCGAAGATTCTATTACCCGTTAGATTAAGCGTTGATCATTGACTTATTTATTTATTTATCAATCGTATGCGAATGCTCCAAGAATATTTTAGTAACTTGTGTCCGAATATGAGTCGATAGATTACTTTTATACGATCTATTTTGCAACGTTCAAATTCTAAACGGAATCTTCTATTTTACTTAGCTGTAATTTTAACTTTAAATCATAATGTAATATACTATACAAATCACGCATAAAAAATGAATGCATTGTAATTAGACGACAATTATAGAATTTAATGATTTATGATTTTTATTGCATGACAATTACTCGATAATTGCCTTGTAATTATAAGTCAGTTTTTGGCAAAATGTGATTTTATTATAATTGCCATGGCTATATTTATAGAGTTTACTGATTTATCCTACACTTACTATGTAATTACTAGACTGTGAATGTTTATGGATTTATAGGAAATTTTATTTCTCAAAAAACTACAGAATGCACTTAATATGCAAAAATATAAGAAATACTTATAGTAAGATACTAATTATTATAATTAGGAGTTAAGACAACCCTCTACGAAGCTTCCATTTTTATTAATTCTATTAATAAATATATGAATTTACATAAAGATTCGCAATCTAGTAATTACAGAGCAGCTATTTTGGAAAAGTAACCTAAGAAAATGTAATCACATCATATTTTGCTCAACACTGATATAAATTTATAAAAAGTACAATACAGCCAAAACATTATAGATTAATTCTCAGTAGCATGCAATTATCATTACATTAAGGGGTGTATTTATATGCAAAATTTCATTTTGCAAAACGAATTTGAAAAGGAGGGCATAAAAAATAGCTGAAAATGGTGCATTTTTCACGAAAGAAGTGAAGTAATTTCGTTTTATAACTATTGGATGAAATAAATGAGATCTTGCAGAATTTTTTAAAATAAATAGGACACGGGATAATAATATAGTCTCCTATATTTTATCTGAAACAGTCTAAAAATCAAACAATGCCTCAATTTTACAGGTGCGTTGCTTCGCGTTATTTTCCACTTTTACAGTGAAACTTTCAAATACTATATCCTCAGACCTATTTATCATAGACTTATTCAAAACATTTCATTATACTCATTGAAGAATTATTTTACCTCCTATGTAAAATTCTGCATAATTTTAGAAATATAATACAGAAACTGGAATAACGAAAGAAATACTTTTTGTTCTGTATTTGTACCATCGATAATAGGAAAGTAGAATGATAAAGAAATTCTTTAAATTTTTCAGAGCTGAACGAACATTAAATCTGAATTATTGATATGTACAACATGAGTCTATGTATCGTACCGTTTCCATTTATAGGAGTCTTTCAATCCTATAAATAAACCTTAAATTAGAATACATTATAATAAAATATATGTAAAACTGATTTTGTCCATTTTAATTATGCACAATTTATTTGCATTTTTCTTGTTACATATATTTTATTTTAATGGTCTTTAAAGAATTGTACGATTCGTAATGAGGCCCAGAAATAGATACAAGATGAAACATCGAATCACGACAAATGTATATTGGAATAGAATCTGAAATATTTTAATCGCTAAGACAGATTTTATGAAATTTTTGTACATTCTATACGTAATAATATTAGGTTTATACTGAGTAATTAAAGAAGATAAATAAATGTTTATTCGGCTCTGAAATACAAATATAAATACACCCTTCGATGCAACAGAATATCCATTTCTAATTGTTGTATTTTTCAAATTTCTGGGGTTCATTAACGAGACGATAGAATTCTATCAGAATATAAATTTTATAAATTGATTGGAGAGTATAAGTCGTATTTAAAATCCAATTTCAGAAATATTTATCTCTTTCTATCGTTTGTATACTCTTATGTTCTTTCTGCGAGAAAATCACGTACCTGTGATATAAGATAACGCGAAGTTAGCGACTGATAAGAAGCAACAAGGTAATTATTATTTTCTATAATTTGTAACGCTCGCGTGAAAATATGTGATAGATCTAGAGTGTTACGTCTCTTCGCGTAATCAAACGACGCTCGATCGGCTATTTTAATTAATAATAGTTTCTGGCGGAAGCGTCCGGTGAAGCGACCAATGGCAAGATATTTAGTGACCCACATTTCGTGCCACGCGTAACGGCATTTCGGTCCAGATTCTGTGGCGATCAACTCCGACAGTATGTTAGTTTTCCCTTTTCTCTGGCGTTCTGTTCAACGTCGAAATCGAAATTATTCGCAACTCGATTTTCAACGTAATAACGTAAAACGAAATTCTTGAATTATTATTCCCACCTTAATCACGAAATCTAGAATAATCTTAATTTTATGATATTATATTTGATAAAGTAACATAATTATATTATTTAGAATATTATGCTAAGCAATGGAAAAAAATTAGACGATGGATAAACAATTTGTCTAATATATTTCTGTAAAATACACATTTTTTAAAGAATGTTTGAACATGTTTCATGCGAAAGATAACGTAAAAGAAAAGACATTGGACAGTTGACTCTCCAATAACGAAATTTGTTTTCTCTTAATCATTTTTGAGGTCAAAATTCTTAACGAAGAAAACTGTGTCAAGTTGAAAACAAAAGTGGGTGGCTTTATAAGGTTTGTACAGAGTTGGTTAGGAAAGTTATGGGAGAAATTATGGATATGATAAATAAGGGAGGGGATAAATAATAAGAAGATATCAATTTTAAAATATTAAGAACAAATAGACACCACATTAGAGGTATTATCGGATGACATTATGTAAAAGTCAACTCGAAAAGAAAGGTATATACTTATACAATTGTTAAAATTGGGACAGAAAATACGTAAAAAATGGCGGTACCTGAATGCACAGCCATTGGAGGAATGTTGAAGAAAGTTGATGCAATGTTGCCTGTGAATTGTAATAATTAGAAAATGTGTAAGAAATAGACGTTCGAAAATTGTTTAAAACATGGTAAGAAATAGAGAAAGGTCATTGAGAATGAAATCTACTTTATACCAAGGCCAATTGGATATTCAAAATATATTGATTATTACGATAAGAAAATGTAACATTATTTTATAAATAATATGTAAGGCATTTAGATCAATTTTAAGGTTGTCTATTTGCATCCTTATACAGGGTGTCTCAGATTTAAGGTACGAAACTTTATCAGTAGATTGTACAAAAGCAAACAAGACAAAAATGGGTTGTTTAACGTTTTATTAGAAAATTATACATAAAAATGCGAAATTTTAGTATTCCATTACGAAATGGCTACCACCGTTAGTAATACAAGATTTACAACGATTGGAAACAGAATTTAGTACTCTATGAAGTTCATTTGTATTTTGTTTCATTTCTGTAAATACAGTAGCTCACGAAAGTGTTCGAACGCATGCAAGAAATAAATGAAACGAAAGAGATATTTATGTTAGAGTTCAGTTTCGAAGATAACATCTTAATAGCTATTAGACACAAGTATCAGGATAATATGTGCAAAATTTCAACTCAATCCAACAGTGTATATAGAAATTAAGAAGCATTTATTATACAAACGTACTGCATGAGGGTCACGAAAGTGTTCGAACGGAAGAAATAATTTACATTTTTCACTACGTTAGTATTTGGTTGGACCTCCTTTTGCCTTAATTACTTCACTTAGACGTCGTCCCATGCTGTGCACCAAGTTCTCCGTCACTGTGGGTTCAATGAAATTCCATATTTGTAATATTTTTTGTTTTAATCCATCCTTTGATGAAATATTGTGGTTTTTTAATCTTCTACCGATTTCGGCCCACAAATGCTCGATGGGGTTCATGTCTGGGCTTTGAGCTGGTGTATGCAGCATATGTGGTGTATTATATAATAGCCACTCCTGCACAATCTTGGCTTTGAGCTTAGGGTCGTTATCTTGCTGAAAGTAAAAATTTTCTAACAGGCCTAATTTGGCAGCACTTTCTTTTAAATTGTCTTTTAAAATATGTAAATATTTGGCCTTGTCTAGAATACCGTCTATAAATACAAGATTTCCTACCCCACTTGCTGCCATACACCCCTAAATCATAACCGAACCTCCTCCGTGTTTCACAGTGGGGCGTAAATTTCTCATATTCATTTCCGTATTCGGTTTTCTCCACACATATCGCTGTCCATCCGACCCAAATATGTTAAATTTACTTTCGTCGGAGAAAATAACTCTGTTCCAAAAGTTACAATCTTTACTTTCGTATTCTTTTGCAAACTTTAATCGTTTAGCTTTATTCGTTTTACTGATAAATGGCTTCTTCCTTGGTACTCTAAGATTAAAATTATTTTTCCGCAGTATTCTGCGGCATAATTCGGGGTGAACAATTTTTCCAAAATCCTCACTAACCATTTGAGCAAGTCTTGTTGCCAAAATAGTCGGATCTTTTTTAATTTCGCGAACAACAATCTTCTGTTCCCTTGCACTTAACTTACTCGGCCGGCCTGCACGCTGTTTGTTTATCACTGTACCTTCAGTTTTTAACTTTTTTATAATATAGTGGACTGTGGACACACTTCTACCTACACACTTAGCTATTTCTCGGTACCATTTTCCATCTTTGTGCATCCTCACTATAATTTCCCTTTCGCATATTTGCGTTTCTGTTCTCTTTGAATTCATTGTCACTGAACACACGATAATCGACAACTAACGACATAGAATTTACTATGCGATGCCTAGAGACGGAATCAACTTACAAATGTTTACATATTTTGAAGCAAAACAATGTTTACTTCAATAAATTTCACGCGTTCGAACACTTTCGTGGCCCTCATGCAGTACGTTTGTATAATAAATGCTTCTTAATTTCTATATACACTGTTGGATTGAGTTGAAATTTTGCACATATTATCCTGATACTTGTGTCTAATAGCTATTAAGATGTTATCTTCGAAATTGAACTCTAA